TTTTTTTTTTTTGCTTTTTTTTGGTTTTTTTTCTTTCGAATTCTGTTTCCTTTCATCAACCTTCCTATACCTTTCTGACTCCTAACTACCTAAACTGTACCCTTCACTGACCTCTGTAAATATATACACATATACAAGGGGGGCAGGGGGAGGGGGGGGTTTGGGGAGAGGGATGGGGAGGGAAAAAAAAAGGGAAAGAGAGAGCGACAAAGAGATAATAAAAAAAAGAAAAAAATAAACAAGCGATAATAATAATAGGTAATAATAATAATAGTAATAATAATAATAATAATAATAAAAATCCTTCTGCTTCCTTCTTTTTTTTTCTTTTTTCTTCTTCTTCTTCTCCTTTTCTGCAGTCAACCAAATTCTCAGCGCACCTGATTTGCATTGTTCGGCGGCGAAGCAGATAGATTCTGTGATGGCTGCTCAAGATTCAGTGACATTTGACGGCAAGAAACAACCATCACTTTTTCCACGTCCTCTAGCTCATCATCTGTGTTGCCAAAACTGTCCCATTTCTTTGAAATTGAAAGGATTTTAAATGTCGACGAAGTGGTTGATGAAGTGGTTATCGGTTCAGTTTTTGCTTTATGAATTTTGGCTGACAGACGACGAGTTGTCGGCTCCGATGCCGCACCATTGAAATTTGGTGGAACTGCCGTCACTGTTGCCACCTCATCTGCAAAAAAAAAGAAAGAGAATATACAACGAAAAAAAAAAAAAGGAAAGAATAATATAAAATAATGAAAGATAAGAAAAAAAAATAAGACGAGATGAGATGTGTTGTGAAAAGATGAAAAAAAAAAGTCGAAGATCAGATAAATGGTTTAACGATAATTAAATGCATTAAGCGCAATGTTTAGTTGTTGAAAAACTAAATTTAACACCAAAAAATGAAAAAAAAATTACTGCACTCCTTTTTTTGTCTTTCTTTTCTTTTTTTCGTAAAGAAGAAAGTAAGAAAAAAGATAAATTAAAGAAAGCAAAAAAAAGAAGAACAAATAGTTTATGAATGCAAAAGAATTACCATTTTCATTAGACGTAGCAGCCTGAGCTGTAGGCTCGTCTACGTGATTCACTGAACGTTTAGTATTCCGATTAAAGGAACGTCTGGAGGAAGTGTTTACAACATTTGCAGCGATGTTATTAGTAACATTATTGTTATTCGCTTTCGGGATATCCTCCTCCGACTTATTCTTTCTTCTCGATGGCCAGATGAACCATTTTGGGCCTTGTCGAACTTGAATAACCTTTAAAAACAGAAGAAATATGTCAAAAAAAGAAGAAAACATGTTAAAAATTAATCGAAAACAAAACAAAAAAAATTTTTTTTCCTTGTCCTTAAAAAACGCAAAAGAAAAAAAAACAGCAGCGGCGGCTCTGAAAAGCGATAAGACCAATAAAAGCTTTTGCATCTAAAAATAAAACGAAGAGGAAAGAGCGGAGGAAATGTTACACCAAAAAAGAAAAATAAGAACAAATAAGCAAAAAAAAACTTCATTCATTAACCAAAAGGTAAAAAAATTTCATTTATAAAGAAATGCTAAAAATTTTTACTGT